ATTTTCTGGCCTAGATTCATCCAGACCTGCTATTTGCACATGCTTATCTTTGACACTCACTTGTGTTTTTTTAAATATGTTTTTATTCATTTCAGAGAGAGGAAGGGAGAAGGAGAGATAGAAACACCAATGATGAGAAAGAATCATCCATTGGCTGCCTCCTACTGGGGAATCAGGCCCGCAACCCAGTCACGTGCCCTGACTGGGAATCAAACCATGACCTCCTGGTTCATGGGTCAACATTCAACCACTGAGCCACAGTGGCCAGGTTGGCACTTTGTTTTTAGAGTGCGATGTTGTTTCTATTACTTTCTATCAATCCATGACCTTCTCTGTCTTTCACACTCTCTATATAGATTTTCTCCCCTAAAAAAAACCTTCCATAGTTGACCCCACCCAATATTCAGTACCAGTCTCCTTGATGGCTTCTCCTATCTCCTTTACTACATTTTGTTCATGGCATGAATTTGCATTCGTTGAAAGATTTCATTAAAATATATTTTAAATAATTCATATGCATGCATTCTGCCTCCATACTAATTTATAAATTACTTCAGAGCGAAGTATTGTCTTTCCTAAAATGACAGAGCTATAATGCATCTGGAAGATCAACTATTTGTTTTACAAGTGAGGAAGCTGAGGACCAGAGCATATAAGTGACTTATCAGAGGTTACATGTGTAATCAGTGGCAAAACTGGGGCTGGAACTCCCCATCGTCTACTGGTACTACTAGAAAAAGCCGCCTTTACTTTTCTATTTTATTCTTTCTTCCAGTATGTAAGAGATGTCCCTTGCATAAGTCAGGTAGTCTCAAGTGAGCCCTGCAGAGGCACCAGCAGCAAACTGATAGTGCCTAGAGGGGAGAACACTGTATTGTTAGGTTAGGGCTAAGAGCACTAAATCTTCTATCGGGTTGACCCCGTAGAGTGAAGAGCAAACTAAATCATAGGGAAGTGGGCTGGGGTTAGAGACAAGGCTTCTAGCACAGCAGGGGAGCTGAAGTACAATCCAGACATCTGAAGGGGCTGGAGCTTAACTCTAATGACTGAGCATGCACAGTACGTTGTGGGGGAAGAAGGAAGGAGATGGCTCCTCAGAGAGCACACAGGTTGAAAGACATGAAACAGCAAGTTTAGTTTCCAGATGCCACCCAGTGGCTCAGTCAACTGACTCTATTACTCCTTTTATAATGTCAGTCTTGAACTATGTAGGCTCTGTCTAGATAGAATGAGCCTGAAACTTGAATGTCTTTAATTACAGTAGTTTGAGAAAACTAAGTAAAGCAAAGTTAATAATACTAAGCTCTGCACAGTTTGCACTTAACAAATGCAGTCAACTGGTTTTACTGTATAACATGATTATATGATGATGGTGATGATAGATAGATGATGATAGATAGATGATAGATAGATAGATAGATAGATAGATAGATAGATAGATAGATAGATAGATAGATAGATGATAGATAGATATGAATAGATACAATGGAGCTTGTTAACCCTGTCATTAATTTCACACTATGAATTTTGCAGAGGACCATAATTCTGTTCTGTCTCTGTTATATCCCTAAAAGGCAACACATAAATCCGCATGGGTCCTGGTTGACCATTTTCTGATAAAATGATGTAATAGCTTCTGATCACTTCCACAAATTCAGCCAAAATTGTTTAGATTTTATATAAAATGCCTTTTGAAATACCTCTACTCATTCATTACTGTGTTCCAGTTGCACATTTTGCTTGATATCATTTCCAAGAAGTCATTGCATTTCAGGATTTTTAACTAATGCTAAGTTGAGACAACTAACATCGTCTTTTGGTGTGACTTAGAGATGATGAGTACCTCCAAAGCGTTGCCTGCCTGACACCTGCCAATTAGAAATAGATCCATAGGATGAATAATTTGACAGCATGCATTTTAGCTCTTAAATGGTACTGATTCTTAATTTATGCATTGGTTTAATTTATGAGTATCTCTACATCATGAAACTCTTACAAAGATTTTACCAACCTCTTTCACTGAGATTTTCCCAGGTCTAAATCAAACAACCATTTAATAAAATGGCTGTTTCTACTGTTGAAAATGATGGTGGCAAATAGATTCAGAAGCATGAACAAAAGCCCTTAAGTTTCATTATCTAATTTTTAAAATATGACACTGACTGAAGAGCGTAGTGATGTTTTTCAGTGGTAGTGGGATGGGAAAACCGCAAGATTAGAAATTTGAATCTAGCCCGGCCGGCGTGGCTCAGTGGTTGAGCATTGACCTAAGATCCAGGAGGTCACGGTTCGATTCCAGGGCAGAGCACATGCCCGGGTTGCGGGCTCCATCCCCAGCAGGGGGCGTGCAGGAGGCAGCCGATCAATGACTCTCATCACTGATGTTTCTATCTCTCCCTCCTTCTCCCTTCCTCTCTCTGAAATCAATAAAGATATATAAAAAAAATTGAATCTAGGTAGTACAGACAGGTTAATAATACCTGTCTGGCTTGATTCACTAGATAGTTTGAGAAAAAATTTTCAAATAGGTTTTGTTATTCTTCAGAGAGTTTCAACAAGGTTGTAGAAGGGGTTCCAAGATAAGAAAGGGTGTTAACCTCTATTAGTCCCAGTCGGCACCAAATCTAGAGTAGGAAGCCCCGAGGTGCTCAGCCAAACTGAGGTTTGACATCACAGATTCTATCAGGCCCAGAGTGCAGGTTTATAATTGAACAACGTGGGCAGGAAGAGAAGGCTAGGAACATGCACTATCTGTTTGATTTTATAACTCTTTAATGTATGTCTTCAAACTGCAGAACAAGAAAATGAGAAAACACTTTAACTCAAGCTTTAGGTGAGAAGAATTCTATTTTAATTATCTGATAGAAATCAATACTTAAACATTGTTCAGCGAAGTCTTTTGTTACAGTGTGGTTGCTCTCAACCTGGAGAAAGCTTGCCCCTCAGGGGACACTTACCAGAATCCAGAGACATTTTTTTAATTGTTCCAAGTAGGGAGTGCTATCGACATCTAGTGGAAAGAGGCCAGCGATGCTGCTAAATACCCTTTAATGCAAAGGACAGCACCTCACAATTAAAAAATCCTCTTAAAACTATTTTAAGATAGGTACTAGATTTATCGGGATGATCACTTCAGAAGTTATATAAATGTCTAATTACTATGTTGTACATCTGAAACTAATATAATATTTTGTCAACTGTAATTTTAAAATAAAAAGTATTTAAAAACAAAGTAAATAAATAAATAAAAATTATTTTTAAAAGATCCTCTTGTCTAAAATACCAGTGTGCCTGCTGTAATATATGGTAGGGGTACTCTATATTCACTCCTGGGTTTTTTTCCACTAATATACCTGTATAAAACTAATATTCCAGGCTTACTATATTTGCCAAAAATAGGGAATAAGTGGTGGCCTAAAAAAACCCCACACAAATGTCTAAAATTGTTCCTTTAAATAAATATCTATTTTAGCAAAATCTAATATAGTCTTCGTGATATGAGAAATTATTTTGAAGTCTTGCACTAATAATTTGAGATTAAAAATACATTGCATGTATATATAGAGCATTTATATGTATATAAAGAGCATTTCCTGTCTACTGGCCCACTAATTGTATATCTGTAATATCACCTCAGGCAATATGTTCAAAAATAACAAAATAACATCAGTATTACTTTGAAAACTGTATCAACAGCCTACTTGTTTCCCAATTGTTTGAGAATGCCAAACAATTCCCAAAGCAAGTTCCTCAGTTTTACTGTTGAGAAGCTTCTTAAGCGCCTCCCTTCAGATATTGCCCTTCACATGCCCCAAGTATCCTTCCAGGAAACCCTGTTTCTAAAATAAATAAAAAGTAACTAACCACTTAAAACATTTCAAGTCTTATTATAAATAAGAAACACTTAATGAACACTTATAAACAGCAAATGAGCATTGAAATTTGGCTAACCATAAACATTTCTGCCCAAAGAAGTGTCATCATTAAATAAATCTACTAATAAATAAGAACTTGTGAAAATTCCTATATATCATTGCTCTTTTCATGCTATTAATTACTTCCACAGGGAAAGAAAAGGAAAGTAGTGTTAATATAACTTTTAAGTCACCATTTAGAAATAGGCTTCTTATGTTGAAGTCAATAGTATAAGGACATATAATTTAAATAGATTCTACATGTAGAGTAGGTAGGAGACATGAACCTCACAAACAAATTTCTCAAAATAAGAATGATGTACCCTAGTTAAAAGAAAATGCATTCCATGGAAATGCTGATTGCATTTGAGTGCTCTTTTACCCGCTGATAAAAATAATAAAAATCTTCATCTTATAAATGGCTGCCATTTACTAACCACCTATTATGTGCTAGGACTTGTGCCAGACATTCAGTCTGTACTACGCTACCTGACTGAATATATATTTCCCTCCAGACGCCAAAGCTCAGCCACCTGAAAAGCAACAGACTGTGATTCAAACCCAGGACAGCTTTCCTCCACAACCAGTGACAGGTCACGGTCTCCATTGCAGTAAAACTCATGAGCTCAAGAAAATTTAAGATTTGCTTTTTTATTCCTTTGTAATTTATTTGAACAATATCTCATCACTCAAATGCCTAAACTCAAACAAACCATAAAAGATTGATGCGGTAACACTTTAATTCTTGCCTTACGGTTACTTCCACAAAAGCATTTGCCCTGTTTTTTGTTGTTGTTACTCGGTTCTTTTCCTAGTCTCAAGTCACCAAGGAGAAAAAATATATTTTTTGTCTGTAATATATCTCTGGCTCAATTTCTTTCCAGTGGTGTGACTTTGATCAGTTCTAACACTTGTCAGTGTTCGTACACACCCTCGTTTGTAGACATCTCAGGACATAGAAACAAGATGTTTAGCGTCAAGGAGAGCCTCTATGTACTGTCTCAAACTTTCCCTCGCTGCTCAGCTCTGTCTATGTTCGTGTGGGTGTGTGGGGTGGGTGTGTAAGAAGGATATTAAGACTCTTAAAGAAGGAGGCTGGGAAGAAGACATTCTGAGAGAGAGAGAGAAAAGAGAAAAGAAGAGGGAATGGAAAACGAGAGGGAGAGGGAGAGGAAATGAGAGAGAAAGGAGAGAGGACTGCTTTATAGCTGCTAAGATTGCAGACAGAAATAGCACACAACCACCGTGAGCTGTATGCGACTCAGAAACCAAGACTAAATTGTATTCACTTTTCTTAATCAGTTGCTCAGAAAGAAAGAGATGACATCTGGTCCTGTCTTCTTCTACATCTTGATTTTTGGAAAATATTGTAAGTATGCTCAGTATTTAACTTCGTACGACTTAGTGTTTTATGAAATTATTACAAGTGTTTATTACTTGACATTTATGCTTTTAAGATAAAAATGCTTTTTCTGACAGAATTTATTTTCTCAGTTCAGAATTATTATTCTTAGTACATTTCTGGTGTTGCTATTAAAAACTGGAATATATTGTCAGAGTCAGTAGGTAGGCAAGATTAGCATGCCACATAAACCTATGCTTCAGAACAACCAATTTGTCTAACTGGTTTAACAATTATTTTACAAGTAATTTTATAATATTTCAAGAGGAATAGTTCTTAAAGAGATTGGGTTCAAGGAATATGTCCATTAAAATACCCTGGAAAGTCTTTACATTTGTTCCAGTTTTTGTGTAGTTGTAATGTTTCATGTCCTAGTCCTTTGTGATTTGATACCATAGATGTGCCTCCTCTGAGGGAAATGCATTCAGAAAACTCCTTTTTTAATTCACAAGGTTTCTCACTGTTCCTTAAAAGAAAAACAAGGGAAAGCGCAAAGCAATGAAAGACACAGACACCCGAGGAGCCCCAGTGGACGTTTGACTTTTGGTATAGTGACAGTTTTTGCTTTCTCTGTATGTGCCATCGCTTATTTTTCAGAATATTTTTTTAATCAAGGGAATGAGTCGTTCTGCATTAAAGCCTAGTTAAATTACATTATGTAAATAGAAATAAAATGTTTTTATTTCCTTGGGTAATAAATGATGAAAAAGTGAAGGAGAATCAAGAAAGAAAACTTTCCGGGTACCTTTAATACCTTATGATGCTGAAAATGATTAAGCTTTAACAATCTGAGAGTTCATGAGCATGTTTATATTTCCCTATCTCCTAAAAGTTTATTTACATGCAGATACTCTATTGAGGAATGATGCAAAGTAAATCTCAATCCAAACCCTCCCTGTTCTATGGCAAGTGCCTCACCAAAGTGTTTACCTTTCCTGTCTTTCCTTCTCTCCTTCTGACCTCTAGTACATCCCACTTTAAGGGTGGGAGCATCAAAATAATGTTAAAAATTACTCAGAATCCTGGAGAAGCATTCTAGTTCCTAGCGTTCTCCATCTGTAACCTTAATTACTGGCATTCCCTTTTTTTTTTTTTACTGGGGGGGGGAGGGTCAAATTGCAAGCCCCCACCAGAAATTGAATGTTTCTGATTATAATCCAAGTGTTTAAGCTATCAGAGTTTTTGAGATTTGCCACCAACATCCTCATTAATCAATAACATATTCTGCCATCTCCTATTTCGTTTCAATAAAATGAGTAGATCACATAAGCCAAAGGAATACTTCCACAGCAGGCGTACCAGCACGAGACATTCAAGGGTATGTGTGTAGCCCGGCCGGGCGTGGCTCAGCGGCTGAGCGTCGACCTGGGATCCAGGCGATAGGGGTTCGATTCCCGGTCAGGGCACATGCCCGGGTTGCAGGCTGCAGCCGATCGATGACTCTCTCATCATTGATGCTTCTATCTCTTTCTCTCCCTCTCCTTTCCTCTCTCTGAAATCAATAAAAAGATATATTTTTTTTAAAAAAAGGGTATGTGTGTAAAAGATGTTCCAGGAGGTTGAGAAGCAACTTTAGCTCAGGTTAGTAATAAAATTCCATGCTTACATGTTCTCTTTTGTTAATAAAAAATTATTTTTATGACCAGAAATAGAAAATAGTTAATAGGGGTATGGGGACTAGGTGGAGGTGGGCAAAGGGGGTGGGTAATGGGAACGGAACTAGATTTTGCTTGGGTCAATGGGTGCATGATGCAGTGTGCAGGTGATGTTTTGCTGAGTTGTACGCTTGAAACCTGAATGGCTTTGTGAACCAATATCATCCCAATAAATTCAATTAATTAAAAAAAAGAAGAAAGGAAAGCTTACTAAGGAACAAACATAATTAAAGAATTGAGTGTATCAGATTAGATCCTGGACTAGGAAAAAAAAATAAAAGGGTGTTTCTTCTTTTTTTTACAAAATAAAGTATCTTTATTGATTTCAGAGAGAGGAAGGGAGAGGGAGAGACGGAGATAGAAATATCAATGATGAGAGAGTCATTGATCGGCTGCCTCCTGCACGCCCCCTGCTGGGGATCTAGTCTGCAACCCGGGCATGTGCCCTGACCAGGAATCAAACCAGGATCTCCTGGATCGTAGGTTGATGCTCAACCGCTGAGCCACACCAGCCAGCTGGATTTTTGTTCTTTTGCTACACAAAAAAAGAAAGAAAAAGAAAGAGAAAAAAAGAAGAAAGAAAAAAAATAGTTAATGATGATAATAATATCAACACCCTCCAACATTTTAAATTTAAGTTCTTTTGATTTAAAATGTTCTTGTAATGCAATGTGAGTACTTGAGAGCTCACAGTGCTCATCCTCCTGTGCTTTCCACAGAGGATGAAGGCATAAACATCTGGTGCTGAGTTTGGCAAGCAAGATTCCTGGCTATATTGGTGTCACCTGGGCACGTGGAGTGGAGGGGCATTTGGCATGAACCCCAAATAGCAACCCACACCTGTGACTCACCTTTTAATTTATCTCATCACCCAACCCTACCTAAGAGAAGATTTCTTATACCTAAGTCAACAGTGACATAAGAACAAATACTTAAATCTCTGTAATCCCATGTCTGTGGTTGTAATTATTTGTTTGTTTGTTTCCTGTTGCCAGGAGCAGTTGTTATGGAAGACAGCTAACCTAAGGTGCTTAGCAGCACTATCATGTACTAGCTCTATGATTTTTGACAATGACTTACCCACACTGAACCTTATTTTGTAAAATAGCAGTAAAATCTTTTACCCTATCTTCCTCCCAGATCCCTTATGTTTGTTTTTTTATGACATAAATTCCCTCCCTGAATTTTCAAAACAACTCAGTTACATAGATATAATTAAGCACAGGAGGAAGGCAAGCTCAAGGACATTTAGTACCTTGTCAGAAGGCTCAAGCTAATAAATGCCAAGATTTGAATGCTTTCAACATCTGTGCTTTTACCCCCAGAACATGAACATTCTCAGTAAGAAATAATGTCTATAAAGGGCTTTAAAAACATAAATCCCTTTATAGACTTAAGCAATTATTAGTTGCCCTTTTAACCAAAAATACTGATTGAATGCGTTACTTTAATAAGCAGTAGGATTAAAGGCCAACTATGGTGTGATTCCTGCTCTGGCTGGGGTAGAGTGGAGAAAACAGAGTTAATCTGGGATTACCAAACAGTGAGATGGGAACACACAGAGAAGGGCCACATGAGGATTCAGAAAAGGTCTCCTTTTAACCTTGAGAACTTCTCATTCTAAAAAAATTCCTCTATGGCCTAGTTAGCTGAATTGTGCCAATGTTCATTTCTTGGTTTTAAAAATGTACTATGGTTGTGTAAGATTTTATCATCAGAAGAAGCTGGGTGAAGGGTTAGGGAACCTCTCTGAACTATTTTTGCAACTTTTTAGGAGTCTGGAATTACTGCCAAGTTAAAAGTTAAAAAACAATCCCTAGGAAGTGTTATATCACAAGTCCTTATCAGCAATTGTTTGACTCATTATGCAAAAACAATCATTTCACTGAAGACGCTGGATAGGAAAGGAACAAGTGAGGTAACAGGAAATAGAAGGGGCTCTAATATTAACTTAATCCACTTTAGCATTTTGCCAAGGACCTAGTAAGTTCCTTATTTTTAGATTCCAAGTGGATACTTAGGAGACCACCTGGTCTTTGCCTTGGGTCCTGACACTGACATATCTTCTAGCAATTCTCTTCTCTAACCATGAAGAAGGAGAAGGGGAGAGGCTTCCCCAGAACAGTCCATTAGTACATGAAAAACAGACCATTAGTACATGAAAAAGAAAAATACTGATATATATTTACCCATCTCCAAAAGACAGAAAAATAAACTTTCCGATATGCAGATTACAGAAGTATCTAATATCCAACCTTATAGTTTTGAAGGTTGCTAACAATTTTGCATTGTTCTTACTATGAATATAGTCATATTTTTAAGTTTCAAATAGAAAATTAAGTCTATGCATCATCATCACTGTATAAAGGAAAACAAATTATTACATTTGTGAATGAAATAGTCTCACAAGCATAATTTCACACATTAGGACAAACTTGTTAAGCTGAAAAGCCTGGAGTTGGGTATTCTGATTAGATTTCATTTTTGTCTGAAAAAACTGCAAGCGTGTCTATCATTTTGATTTCAGGTCCTATGATTGTGGTTATGGGTGTGGTTTTTATATCTGAAGTCCGTATATTGGAAAGTTTATTGATCTTAGAGAGAGGAAGAGAGAGAGAGAGACTTCGATCAGTTGCCTCCCACATGTGCTTGACCAGGAATCGAATCCGCAACCTGGGTATGTGCCCTGACTTGGAATCAGACCACAACCTTTTGGTGTGCGGAATGACACTCCAACCAACTGAGCCACACTGGCCAGGACATGATAAATTTAGAAGAAAATTTATAAATGTATGTGCCTGGATCTACTGAGAGAAATCAGATAAGCTACCCTATAAAGCTTTTTTGGAAGCTCTTATCCAGGCCCCATATTGCCAGAATAAATTAATGAAAATAACAGAATAAGTTCCCAGATGCATCAGGCCCTGGCTTCTGAGACAGAACAGAATTCAGACTGCCATTATGTTCGCTCACAAAACCTCTGATTCTTATCTTGCTTTTCACCCTCTCCTCTCATATTCCTTGGCTCATCCCAGCCTTTTGATATTTTAATAGGTTTTTCCCAGAGCAGGCATGAAATGTTAGACTCATTTCCAGTAATCCAGAAAATTTGTCGTTTTTGCTTCTAGTTGGGTCTGACTTGTTGGAAACTGCAAAACTGCTTCATGGTTTATAAATGTTTCTACTTTCTCACACATTTCAAACTTAGACACGAAGATGTCGGTCAAGCTCTCTGTTAGGTTCTCTTAACCTGCATTTAACTTCCTTCTTGGTATTAAGATCAAGAGAGGTGGCTGGTTTGGCTAAGTTAAA